GGGTCTTATATAGACAGGTGTGTGGCTTTCCTAATCACGTCCCATCAGTATAATCAAACACAGCTGGACTCAAATGAAGGTGTAGAACCATCTCAGGGATGATCAGAAGAAATGGACAGCACCTAAGTTAAATATATGAGTGTCACAGCAAAGGGTCTGAATACTTATGACCATGTGATATTTCAGTTTTTCTTTTTCAATAAATCTGCAAAAATGTCAAACATTCTGTGTTTTTCTGTCAATATGGGGTGCTGTGTGTACATTAATGAGGAAAAAAATGAACTTAAAGGATTTTAGCATATGGCTGCAATATAACAAAGAGTGAAAAATTTAAGGGGGTCTGAATACTTTCCGTACCCACTGTACATTGTACAGATTATACAGATCCCTACAGGTCTCTATTTTTATTTTTTAAGTACTCCATTTTTATTCTATTTTTATCTCATCTCCTAATGAATGTTCCTTTGTCTGTTTGCATTGTTTATTGCCTGTTTATACTGTTTATTTCGTTATACTGCACAGCCTTATGTTGGTATATTGTTTACTTGCTCCTTGCTGTTGCCTTGCATGGGGATATGCACATGTACATTGAGAGCCACTGTACCAAAGTCAGATTCCTGGCCAATAATGCTGATTCTGATTCTGATATATCAATTCAGTGTTTAGATCAGAAAAAAAGAAGAATCAAAAAACAGTTTTCATACAAAGAGAAGTATAAACAAAAACAATAACAAAAGGTGTGTGTGTGTGTGTGTGTGTGTGTGTGTGTGTGTGTCATGTGCAGCTGTTTATGAATGTATTTGCTGGGTTTATGTTTTCATGTCACAGTTTCCATGTGTGCATTTTTTTGTCAGTCCTAGTAATCATGGTTCTCTGCATGTTCACACATATTAACTGTGTGCATGCATGTGTGTTTCCCAGAAACCTGTTAATTATTGTATGCCCATGTGGGAGAAACGCCATATCTGTGTGTATATGGCTGTCTATACACATGCATTAATTCAGTCAGAGTCTGAGACTGTGGATGTGCACAGTATGTGTGTGTTTGCGTGGGTCAGCAGTGTTAGGTTTAGACACTGTTTGTCTGTGAGGATTGTAGGTTTAACAGAGTTAAGCCGACACAAAGCCCCTACTCTGCAGAAAACTGTTTTCCCTGCTGGAAAAAGTCCCCCCATCAGACTGACTGTCCAGACCTGATAGGAAGCTCCATGACCTTGGAAAGACTTCAAAACCCCTGCAGGAGAAATGTTAGCTACTTACTGCTCTGTGTGCAACTCTGTGAATTTATTGGTCTATGAGGTTCTGTCAAAAGAAATTTTCATTTAATTTTGGGAACTTCTCCGTTTTTCTGCCACTGTTAGTCTTTCTTTATCTGTTTTAAGTTCAATGCGTTGTTAATTTATGATTTATTCATTCATTTTTAGATCAGCAGTTTCCAGGTTGGGGGTCAGGACCACCCACAGAACTTTGAGATGTTTTGTCGAATTTGATTAAAATATGCAATGTAAATTTGTTTTGTTTTATTTGTTTTCTTTTTTACGTAGGTAATGAATTTAATTTCCCTGTAAAACAGTAAACATGCACAGCCTCCAGGCTTTCTCCAACAAGTTACCAGACAAACGGCCAGTGAGCAAAGTACAAAAAACCTTGGTGTAGTGTCTGACTATTCTGTGGACAGGGAAAGAACCTACTTGTGTTCAGTGCCTGAACTCAGAAAGCACACAAAATTAAATGAAGGCCTCTGTTTTTCATTAACTGAAATTGCTTTAAAACACACACAGGAGAAGACAAGGGCACAAATGATCTGTACTATAAATGCATAACGCAATTTCATGGAACATTTCTATTATTTCAGCTTCACTACTATGATAGGTGGTTATATCTGTGTGTAACGCTAAAATAAAATGTGCTTTCGTGTGTGTTTTCCATTTGTGGCAGTAAAACAGTTTGTATCTCTGCTACATGAACTCACTGAAATCCATCAGGTTATAGAGAAAGCCGTCTGCATAGATGGTCGTTTAACATTTCAATGGGTTCCCACAATAATGGATCAACAGAAGGACATGCTACTAATGAGACAGCTCAGTGTCTGTTAGGCTGAGTGAATGATATGTGCATTGTTTAAATTGAGCCAGAAAATGTGTGTGAGAAAAACATGGAGAAGTAGAATCAGAATCAGCTTTATTGGCCAGGTGTGTCAGACATAAGGAATTTGACTCTGGTACAGCAGCTCTCAATGTGTATGTACATATCCTTATGTAAGGCAATAGCAAAGGGAAAGTAAACAATATACCAATATAAGGCTGTATAGTATAAAAAACAAACAATTCAAACAGGCAAAGAATGTTCATTAGGAAACGAGATAAACATAAGAATAAAAACAGAGTACTTAAAAAATAGAGACCTGTACAGATCTGTATAATCTGTACAATGTATATTTACAGGTATTGCACTGAAGGTTACAGTCCAATTATACCGTCGTTGGTTAAGTGTTCATCAGAGTGACAGCCTGGGGGAAGAAACTGTCCCTGTGCCTGGTTGTCTTAGTGCACAGTGACCTGTAACGCCGTCCAGAGGGGAGGAGTTCAAACAGATTGTATC